TATGTACATTGTGATCACAAACTACTTGAAAGGCAAAGAAAACATACAAATAAAGTACAGATAAATGTAGGAAACAATAACTCCCTAATGAGACCCAAATGTCTTGTACTTAAAGTCAGCTTTTTAAGACTATTTGATTCTAAGCAGCAGGGACAGCTTAGTTCAGAGTAAACTGAATACAGTTAAGTCCTCACTCAACATCTTTGACTTTGAGTGAAACAATGGATAATGAAAATAATTTTTTCATAGGCTAATTGATATAAACAAGAGTTAAGTTCTGTATGGCATCTCACTAACCTTGTAACCACTGAGCCACACCAACCAGGGTACATTTTGTTTTTTATAAACAAAGCCCAGTATGGTGCCTGCTTAAGTTATTTTAAGTTGTTCGTGACCTGCCCATGAAGACTTTGAATATTTCAAATGAGTCCAGCCCAGAGAAATGCGTATTGTTTCAGTGGGTTTCAAAAGGAGATTCTATATTTATTTATTTATTTATTATTTATTTATTTATTTATTTATTTAATATCTTTATTGGTTTCAGAGAGAGGGAGGGAGAGGGGAAGAGAGAGAGAGAAACATCAATGATGAGAGTCGTCGTTGATCGGCTGCCTCCTGCACACCCCCCACTGGGGATTAAGGCATGTGCCCTGACCGGGAATCAAACCATGATCTCTTGGATCCTAAGCCGATGCTCTGCTGAGCCACACCCGTCCAGGCGAAAGGATATTTTAAAGTATTTTTCTCTGTATGCAAGTTACCAAAATAATTCTGAATGGATTGCTTAAATTATTATTGTCATAATTGAGTCATCTATGTTTGTGGTTGGCTTTGAGAAGTTTTTTACCCCTTATTTGTAAGATTATTGATGTTATTTTTAACTAATCTGGCAGTTTTTGAATATACATTAAAAAAATTTTTAAACAAATTTGTACAAAACTTAAAACAGTTATAGTTGTTTTTCATTCACATAGTGGCTACTCTCAAATGATGCTGAAACTGTCTGAAAAATGTTCTTGTGCATATGCCAGGAGGCTTCTGGGATGGGCGTATTTTTAAGAACTTAGAACATAAACAACTGTGATCTGTGGCAAGAAATTTAAATGACCTCATAATGACGATGAGAACAAAGCATTTTTAAGTTATCGTGGTGGTGTGTTAATCCATTGCAATGTGTTTGTCATTCTACTATTTTGGTGTATTATGTGAAAGCCCAGCAAAAAAAATATAGACTATTTAGCTGAAGATACTATTTATTGTTGTAAACAAACTAATTGCCAGAAAAATATAAAATATTTCCTGGGGAAAAAATATTCCATGAATTAGCCTAGAGTTATAGGTCCTTTAAAAAACCACATGAATCACTTTGGGATAAAGGCCATTTATTTAGATCTTAAAGTTTTGATTCATTTTCTGTTGGAGAGAATATATTCCAAACATGAAAGATCAAACAGTTGGCTTGAAATAAGAATCCTCCCTTCAAGACAGATCAGTTAAGTGTTTAAGCACTTACTCTGTGTCTGGCACTATACTAAATATTATGGAATACAAAAGAAGGTGACTTTAGTTGCCTTTGGTCTAGTTGGAAGAACAAGCATACTCAGATGAAACTTCTGAAGTGGAAAAGACATTATGTAATCAAATACCAAAAAAACCCCCACATCATTTATAAAGTACAAATAATGAAATAGCCTTTGTTTTCAGAAATGTCTTCTAATCATTGTCTAGAACAGTGGTTCTCAACTAGAGGTGATTTGGTCCCCCACGGGGACATTTGGTAATATCTAGAGACATTTTTTATTTTCACAACTGGAGCTACTGGCATCTAGTGGATAGGCCAAAAATACTGCTTAAAATCCTACAATGCACAGGATTATCCTTCACAACAAAGAATGTGTCTGGTCCAAAATGATAGTGCTGAAATGAGAAAACCAGATGTAAAATCTTTGCTGGTCAGTTTTGAAGTTGTGGGAGATGGACTCCCATCTGCCCCTAGACCTCTACAGCCCCTTTAAATGTTCTTTGCCTGAGGCCCTTGGATCCTTACATGCAGATGAACATTAGGTATTCATAAATTCCCTGAACATTGTATACAAGTTTTTCCAGTACATTATTTCAGGGATAGATTCCATAGCTTTGATCAAGTTCTCAAGTTTTTTATGTTCTCAAGAAAGGTCAAGACCCAGTCACGTGTGGAGTAGAGGCACATAGAGATTGAGACACATCAAATCAATGTTCTAGTCACTTAAAAGACAATAACAAAGAACCTTCCTTAGCATCATACTTAGCTAGAAGTAGAGTTTAAGTTTCAAGGATCAAAGTTACAGTCATGTGCTGCAAAACAACATTTGGGTCAGAGATGGACCACATAGATGAAGGTGGTCTGATAAGATTACAATGGAGCTGAAAATTTTTATCACCTAGAGTTATAACCGTTGTGACCTCATGATGCAGCGTATTACTCATGTTTGTGGTGACGCTGGTATCAACAAACCTGTGTTGCCAGTTGTATAAAAGTTTGGCACATACAGCTATGTGCAGTACATAATACTTGATGATGATAAATGACTGTGTTACTGGTTTATGTATTTACTTAATATTTATCATTATTTAGACTGTACTCTTTCTACTTATATTAAAAAACATTTGCTGTAAAGTAGTATGCCATGTTGCACAGGCACAGCTTCATGCATCTTGTGTTGACTGCGTCTTGAATGCATCATTTTCTTTTGTGCTTGATTTAATCTTGTGTTGTTTTGTTCATCATAACCTTGAAGCATACAAAACCTACTAATGTTGCCAGTAAGAGGATTGATCTGGAAACAAAATTAAAAGTGATTAAGGATGCCTTGGCCAGGTAGCTCAGTTGGTTAGAGCTTTGTCCCCATACACTATGGTCCCCACACACCGTGGCTCAATCCCCAGTCAGGGCACATAGAAGAATCAACCAGTGAAAACAATTGGGTGGAACAGCAGATCAATGTCTCTCTTCCCCTTACTCCCTCTTTTTCCCCCTCTCCCTTTCTCTTTCTAAAATCAATAAATATAAATGAATAAATAAAGTCAGTAAGGATAACAGAAGTGGAAAATCAGCACCGATTATTGCTTGCTAGTCAGGCATGTCCTCTTCTACCATGGCTGTGATCTTGAAGAATAAGAACAAGGTGATGGAAGCTGTTAAATGATCTTCATTGAAGGCAGCGGAACTCAAGAAGGACTGTATCAAAAATGGAGAAACTTCTAATGGCCTGATCGAGGACCATACACACAAGGGTCTCCCTTCCAGCATTATGACAGTCGTGGGCAAAGCAAAAAGTTTGTAATGTTGAAAGGAAAGCTGGACCTGACTAAGATGCTGAAATTACTGCTAGCTGTGGGTAGTTTAAATGATGCAGTACATAATGTGAAGGTGGCTGGTGAGTCTTCAAGTGTTAATATGAAGGCAGCTGAAGAATTTTTGGAAACTAGATAAGCTGATTATGGAGGAAAATTACTTGCCAGAGCAAATAATTCAATTTGGATGAAACCTGCCTATTCTGAAAATGGATTCTTGAAAGGACTGTTATCCAGAAGGAGGCCAAGTCAATCCCAGGTTTCAAGATTTAATTTTTATGGACAGGATAAGTCTTGCTTAGGGGCAGTGCTACAGGCTACAAATTGAAACCCTTTGTGACCTGGCACAATGAGAAGCCCAGGGCCTTCAAATATATCAATAAGAACACACTGCCATTGTACTATTATAATTTTGGTTATTGTTAATAATGTTCCTGGACATCCTCCTTGTACTGATAACTTCATGCTGTTCTTTGGGGCTCAAGATTCAAAGCACTACTTTTAGTTGTTTTATATATTTGAACTTCTACAAAATATTTTCTTTGAGGGGGAAAATGTATGTGGGAGGGGCAGTTGCATGCTTCTAATCTAAACTGACCTCATTTTGCAGGTGACAAACCTGAGGCCCAAAGCTTTAGATTTTACTCATGGGCTCTATATTTGTTTATTCTAGGTCAAACCACCATTTTAGATGTTTCTGGTTATATTACATAGGATAACCAGTTCAAATTCCATCTGTGTAGCTTCCTAGCTACATGTTCTTAGGCAAGTTGCTAAACTCTCAGGAAAAATGGGAATTATTATGTCTTTAAGATTGTTTTCTTTGTCTTAGAATGTAAAATGTATCTGGGAAAATGATCTGGATCAACCATGTCAGCATTTCGAATCATTCTATTATTGTTTTAAAATGGATTTTGTATCATCTAAATATTGAAGCCCCCTCTTCCCCGAACCCAGCCATGACCTCCAGAAAAGCACTACAAAATAAAACAAACATCTTTATTATCAAAGAAGACAACACAATAGTCATAGTTCCTTTCCTTTGGCAGTTATGAGGGTCTTCAAGGACTGATAGCAGTCTTGGGGCTTTTTTACCTTCTCACCCACTCCAGCTATTACATAAGCCACCTAGAAACTTTTAGGAGCTACAAAATGCAAGGAACAAAGACCTTTAGAGTTGAAATACAACAGCAAATAACAGCATTGAAAGAGTTAAACCATACAAAGTGGAATCTGAACTTAGTGGTCCTTTTGATCTTAAAGATGTGGCCTCACAGTGTGCTGGAGGCATGATTATGAAAGTGCTTTCTTTCTGGGGTATTTCAACAGCGATGCCTTACCAGTCAGTTTTTGTTAGTCACCTGTTCTAGAATTATTCTTAGGCTCTCAAAGCAATTAAGTATAGAGAAATGAAATTTGAGGCTAAATAAACAGTTTTTCTTCATTGGCTTAATCATATATCAAGTTACTGGGTTTATTTGGTTTGGTTAGGTTTATTGTTGTTTGCTATTAGAAAATAGCTTTGATATAAGTTGATCCTACATTCTGTGATCTTACAGTATTAAAACATTCAGTTTTGCATTTTATCTTGTTACTCTATTAAATATATATGTTACCTTTTTTGGTAATTTGCATTTTAAACTTAACTATTTTTGTGTTTTCCTTAGGTCTTAAAGAAAGTGCAGAAGAGATGGTCAAAAACAAATTGGAAGGAAAAGATAAACTGACCCCTTGGGAACAATTTTTAGAGAAGAAGAAAGAGAAAAAAAGACTGAAAAAGAAACAGAAGGTATCAAAGATAATTATAGCCAAATACTTACTGAACAGCAGCCATGTATGAGAAGGTACCAGGTGCTTAGTACCCATCATCACAGTGTAACCACTCTCTAGAGTAGGCCTTGCTACCATTGCAGTTTTGAGAAAGGAAGGGGGAAATCCAGTAGGTTAAGTGTTTTCCACGAGGCTACATGATGTGCAAAGTCTGGTGAAAACCCAGAGCTACTTAAATCCACAGCCACTGTGCTCTAATATTTTGCATTTACATGCTGCCTAAATAAAATACATAGTTTAGTTTGATATCTAGATGTAAAACAGCTTGATTCTCTTCTGTTTTTGAGGAAGAGAGGGGCATACAGACTTCTTTACTTGAGGATATAGACATATAAAAGTTTTTAATATGGAGGAAATTTTCTATACATTTTTATTTTTCATCCCACTGTTTTCACTTTTCAGTATTATCATATGGCTCTTTTAACATCTTACTGTCATTAAGTTTCTTGATGAGGGATATTTTCTCCGATAATATGGTGTATGTGAAAAATCTGAATTGACTCCCGTCATAACATTCTGCAGGATTAGCTTCCTTGAATAGCAGAGACCACTTAATGGTTTTTGCCACTGAAAATACTCTTATCTTGCACCAAAGTGCAGCATTCTGGCAGTAAAGTCATTTTCTTAAGATGGTGTCACTAATCACAGAATTTTGCAACTTGAGGCATCTTAAATGATTAGTTCTAATCCATCCCTGATGTTTTACAGTCGTAGAAAATTAAGTGATTTGTCTGAGGATTCATCGCCAAGCAGAGACCAGAATCCAGCTCTCTCACTCTAGTGTTCTTCCTACTGTACTGTGTTCTCTCTATACTATGTAAGCTTGTGCTTTTGGTACAGCTGTGACTTTCAGTGCCTGTAAAGATAGAGGGTTACAAAACTGAATGATGAAATAGAGTGATTTTTGTACTCTTATAGCTAGTATTTCTGGAAATGGCTAGTAAAATGAGGAAATGGGGTAAGACCCCTGTCCCCATTGGTATGGTACCTCTCTTCTTCCCTGAAACTTCCTTTAAAACTAAGTAGGCAGTAAAGTTTTTTGGTTTTTTTTTTTAATATATCTTTATTGATTTCAGAGAGAGGAAAGGGGAGGGAGAGAGAGAGATAGAAACATCAATGATGAGAGAGTCATTAATCAAGCCCACATCCCAGGCATGTGCCCTGACCAGGAATCGAACCCTGATCGCCTGGATCCTAGGTTGACGCTCAACCACTGAGCCACGCCCGGCCGGGCCAGTAAAGTTTTTTTTGTGTTGTTTTTGTGTTGTTGTGTTTTTTTTTTAATATATCTTTATTGATTTCAAGGAGAGGAGAGGGAGAGAGAGAGACAGAAACATCAATGATGAGAGAGTCNGTTTTTTTTTTAATATATCTTTATTGATTTCAAGGAGAGGAAAGGAGAGGGAGAGAGAGAGAAACATCAATGATGAGAGAGTCATTGATCGGTTGCCTCCTGCACACCCTTGACTGGGGATC